GTGGCTCATGCCTGTAATCCCAGCACTTTGGGAGGCCGAGGCGGGCAGATTACCTGAGGTCAGGAGTTCGAGACCAGCCTGGCCAACATGGTGAAACCCGGTCTCTACTAAAAATACAAAAATTAGCCGGGCGTGGTGGCCTGTGCTTGTTAATCCCAGCCACTTGGGAGGCTGAGGCAGGAGAATCGCTTGAACCCGGGAGGCGGAGGTTTCAGTGAGCCGAGATCGAGCCACTGCAGTCACTCCAGCCTGGGCGACAGAGCGAGACTCCGTTTCAAAAAAAATAAAATAAAATAAAAGAGAAATTGACATGAGTTCTGCTTTAACTATAAAAAACTTTAGTACCTACAGGTGAAACTTAGCTTTTGATTTTTTCCCTTCCTTGGAAAGAGTCTGCATTTAGTCAGCTAACATTATAGTACCACTCACAAGCCAAAGATCTTCCGTAATTTGGAAGGGAGGCAGTAGAGGAATCAGAGTCATAATAAGTTAGCTAATAACCAACTATTCTTTAAAGCTTAACTGTGAACTTAACTGCAATTACGCATTTCATTGACCTTCTCTAGTGTAATACCAGCCCCTGTCCCTTAGAAAAGAGGAAAATACACTTACGTTTTTATTTCTAGTGGTTCTAAGAACTTGTGATTGGCTCCAGATTCCTAAATGAAAACACTGCATATATTCACCTCCTTCTCTTTTCACCGCATTTGAGTTTTTCTGTCTGCCAAACAAAATGATAGGGCCAGGTCTGCCAAAGCCCCAAATACAGCGGCATCGCCCTGCTTCCCTCCAGGGGATCTTCCTATTGAAAGGGGCTCTGCCACACAGTGCCTCAAACGTTCAGGATAGAGTTTTTCTTCCCTCCAACTTCTATATATTCTTGCCATAAGGACAGCACTAGCAAAGCGGGCTCCTCCTCTCAGTTAACAGAACTGTGACTGCCTGTGAGGCTCATTCTGAGAAAGGGACAAGGGAAAGGGACCGGGGCGATAAGTGAGGGTCCCAGCTTGAGGGCTGGAGTGGGCACCAGACTCCCACCAACGACTAAACCGGAGAAAGCAAAGAAACTGGCCTTCCCCGCACCCAAAAATAAAACATCACATCACTAAAAAATGGAAACATTCGCAACATTTTCTAAAACAAAACCACTCACCTGCAAAGGGGCCACCAGTAGCAGCATCAGCAGCAGCCGCTCCTCCGAGCCGCCGAAGAGCCAGCGCCTCCTAGGACTCATCACTGCCGCCGGCATCGACGCTCTTTTCTAACCCCCGAACCAGACGTGGGCAGGTCCTAGGGCTCTGCGTATTGGAAAGTCGAACTGTCACTCATCCACGGTCCCTGCCTACACCCGGGACCAGAGAGGTCTCTTCCGTTTACCAAATCCCAGGAGTAAGAAGTGGGGTTCTGATTGGTTCGCTACAGAGACGAGCACATACCTGAACCAGTAAGGAGTTGGCGTCGACACCAACGGGCAGGCTTGTGCCTAGGGAAGTAGAAAAACAAACCCTGCAGCGTCGCTGGTGCAAAACCTCGGGTCCGGGGAGCGTCTTAGCGATTTGAGGTTCTAGAAAGCGTTTAAAGTGTTAGGAGAAACACCTGCGGGTGAAGACGGGTGTCAGCGGACTCTTGCAAGAGAGGAAGTGATGTTTCTTTTACTTATGGGAAATTTAGGGATTGAAACCTGAAGACGAAGCCGGGCTATCCTCGCAGAAGAAGCTCCTTTCGCACGAATTACTCGTGGATGAAAGTCTTAAGTCGTGATTAAAACAAATGCCTTTGAAGTGCTCGATTTATAGGCAGTAACATATCCTTACTTTCTCTTACCGCTTTTATAGGGATTTCCGTTAGGCAGTTTGCTGACAGTATTTTAGGTGGGAAGAAAAGTCATGAATGGAATGCCCTAAAAGCTTATTGCACAGAGGAGGGGAGGCTGGAGTGGAATGAGAGAATGACAAATTCGGAGGCGACAATAACTGAACAAGAGAAATCTATGAAAACACCGGAAGTCTGGCACGAGGCCTTAAAAGCTTCTAAGCAGGCTTGAACTACCAACGAGGTTTTGAAGCATATGTGTTAGAACGTTCGGGTGGGCGGGAAAGATAAGGAATGTTATGTTTGCCGGACCACCTGGGAGATTCCCTTCTTAACTTAGAAGCTATCCTACGTAGTGGTTCGTGTCCTCCTGTGAGTTTTTCCTGTTTCAGCCTCATAACAAATGCATTAGGTTTGTGACAGGCAAGCAAGTCCTCAGAATAATTATACATATATTTGAAAAGATAATCTTTCAACATTTGAAATTCTGTGACACACTCTGTATTGAACTCATTAAGATCTAATTGTAGCCAGTTCTGTATCTCATTTACCGATCTTAGAGCATGACAGTTCCTCCTGGGATATCAAAGAACAGAACTTTACTTCTGGGACGGCACTAATCCAAGGCTTGACAAGTCCCAGCAGGTGATAGGTCCCATCTAGTGATAGTTAGAATTTAACTTGCACAAGATTAACTAGAGTTCAGGCCAGAACAGCTGAAGAGGCAGTTTCCAAATCTTATACATTTGCCCTCTTGCTCTTTTCCCAATATCAGATGAGGACAAAGTAAGGAGAAAGCTTTTCTTCTACAGTGTAATAAAGCTCCTACTTGAGTGCCCACCATCCATACTCTGGAGGCTAAAAACAGTCATTCCCAAGTGGCAGTCTTGTGGCATTTGGCATTTAGGGATACTTAGTCTGGACTTAAGGGCGCCTACTCACTGGATTTAAGTTTACTGTTGTTATGGATACCCATGGAATGTTAGCTTGTCACATAAAACCTTAACAATATCAAACATCACTTACCTTTTAGAATCATTCGCAAGACTATGTGGCTTATGAATAACTCATTTTGATATAAGATGGAAGCAATTGTATCAGTGATTCTGTCTAGAAGGAATTGAAAAGCAAATTTTCATCAGGAGCAAGCATGTTCTTTGTAAGACAAATGTGCACAGAGGCTAACAAAATTTCAGGAGTTACTTTTGCCCTATGGAAAGATTGTTCTCCATACTTAATTATGTTACAGTATCATATCCTGAACCCTGTGTCCTGCTCTATTCGATGAGCTGTCTCCCTTATGAAGTTTTAAATAATGAGGTCGTGATTCACAAAAATGATCATAAATCCATTTAAGGCAAAGATGAACTCCAAAGAATATTAGACTTGTGCAAACTTAGTACTTGACAGGGCTTTGGAAATTAAACTCTAGCTCCTTGTTGTACAGATAACGAAACTGAAGCTTAAGTGATGTGCTCAGAATTACTTGGTTGGGGACAAACCTTGGGCTAGGACAAGGTTGCTAATTCATATAATTCTAGAAAAATGCTTCCTCTTCCTGCTGCCTTCTCTTTGCCCCAAAAGCAATGTATTTTTTTTAAATTAAGATTAATTTTAGGATTCACTTCCATTGAAGACCAACCATGAGGACTTCAATTCTGATATAGCAAGTGATATAGATACTGTGAAAATAATTCAGTGTCATCAAACAACTTTTGATGTAGTCTTTTATCCAAACAAGAAATGAAAAGCAATAAATTATTATAGCTATGTTGTCTCTTTGTCTTCCTTTCTGTTAGAAGTGTATATCAAAAAGTCAATGTCAACCCATATGATACTTTGAGTTTTAGTAGAAAACTGTCTTCCTTGTGACCTGAATAAACCACTATTTTATTGATAGCATACATACCTGGTCAAAATAATTTCACAGTTATGTGCACAGAGCCTCTAGCCTTTTCCATGTATGGCTGAATTGGTCCACTATGCATCAAAACATCATCCATGAACCTAGGCTATTCTCCCTTGTACTAGCCTAACAGAACCATTGACTCCCTCCTTCCAGCAAACTCCAGAGTTAGCTAGTTCTATATCCCATGTACAGGAGTGTCTCCTTCTCTTCACATGATCAGGACACACCATGAGTTGGTTATTTGCTGCCAGTATTTAGTCTCCAACTGTACCCTACTTACTTCAGGGTCAGTTTAAAATTTACCACTCGTAATCTAGTATAATAGACTTATGTGTGGTCCCCATCATTGACCTCCTAAGTACAAGACTCCCTTTTCTGAAACTAAAAACTGGAAATGCTCTTATGGATCAGCCATCCAGGCCTCTCAGAAGGGACCTTAAAGTCTGCCCTTTTCTTTCTAAAGTTAAAACTTAGAATCCTCATCTTCCTCACAGAATAGGGTGAAGAATCATGGAGGTAGTTTTGGAATAGCTTTGAAGCACCTTGTGTCTGCCACCTTCCAGCGCTGGGAACTTAGGGGCTTAATTGGACTTATAGTTCCATGAGGCTGGGGAAGCCTCACAATCATAGTTAACTCTAGAGTCTGCGGGAAGGACGCAGCCAATGGTTCCGCTAGGCTAGCAAAATGCAGAATAGCCTAGGCAAATTGCTTGACCTCAGCCTCAGTGTCTTTATCTGTTAAATAGAGATAATACCCAAATTGCCAATGTGAAAATTAAATGGGATAATGTGGTGTGTGCCTGGCACATGGAAAGCATCTCATAAATGATAGTGGTTATTCTTTGCAATTATGGTAATGATAAATGTAAAGCATTTTAACTGCTTACAAGTATTCTTATTCAAATAACTTAGTAAAGTCTTGGCATTGCGCTTGCCTCTTTTTCCTACTCTCCACTCAAGTGGAGACCTGGACTCTTGCAGAGGACATGAGACTGGGATTTCCCCAGCTATCTTGTGGCTACCCAGAGAGGTAATGGGCAGGAAGTGAATGCCAGAGAGGGTACAGACCTAGTGGCAGAGCCAGGAACCTCTGGTATTGGGAAGCCTGAACTATGTGAAATTCCCTTACAGTAAGACTAAACATTGAGTAAGCACCTTGGCATAGGAAAAGAGCCAGGTTGATTTTTTTCCCCACTACTTTCAGATCTGGGACAAGGGTAGGGGAAAAACTTAGAAACATGAGGAATCAAGAGGTGCTTTCCTCTTTCACAAATTCTCTACTCCACTAAGTAAAAACCCATGTTTCTTTAAATGCTTGTTGTTTATATTGTGGTAAACACAAATTGTGCCCTATAGAGTTTTTTTTAAAGCTTATATTTATTAATTATAAATTTATGTTTTAAAATGTTTATTGTGTAAGGTTTAGAAAAGAAAAAAACTTAAAATACCTATAATCCTACCCTCCAGAATTTATTTTTAACATTTTTGTGTATCCTATTTCTTCCCATAAACCAATAACTTAAAAAAAAAAACTGGAATCTTAGTATATATACTGTTTTGTGGCAATCTTTTTTACTTAATTTGTTATGAACATACGAACAATGTCATTTAATATTTTTCTTCAGTGTATAATTCCATTACATGAATGTTCGTCCAGGTGGTATGTCTCACAGTCCAACCGATTCTCTACTCTTGGGCATTGAACTTGTTTCAGTTTCTTAAAAAGATTCAGTGATTTAAATGAGCTGCTGCTTTCTCTAAATGATAGTGCTCTGGGAATGTCTACTGAACCAATGGCAATGCCTGCTGGCTCCAGCCTTTCTTCATGGAGACTGATAAAGTGGCTAGGAATTCTTTTCTCTATGCTCTGATATTACAGAGCTAAGAAAGGTGAAGATAGTAACCTGATAGCTACTGAAGGGTTTCCTCTTACCCTCTGTCTCCACCAGGTTTTCTATTCTTTAACCTGAAGAAAAGGTGTTTAGCTGAGGAGCCAGGGTGGGGAGGTGATATGGAGGGAATGGCGGATGGAAATCAGAGTTTGTATTAGTCCATTTTCATGCTGCTGATAAAGACAATTTACAAAAGAAAGAGGTTTAATTGGATTTTCAGTTCCATGTGGCTGGGGAAGCCTCACAATCATGATGGAAAGCAAGGAGGAGCAAGTCACATCTTACATGGATGGCGGCAGGCAAAGAGAGAATGAGAATCAAATGAAAGAGGTTTCTCCTAATGAAACCATCAGATCTCGTGAGACTTATTCACTACCATGAGAACAGTATGGGGGAAACTGCTGCCATAATTCAATGATCTCCCACGAGGTCCCTCCCACAACAGTGGGAATTATGGGGGATATAATTCAAGATGAGATTTGGGTAGGGACACAGCCAAACTATCAGAGCTCCATCAGTAAATCCTCACAAAACTCCTGGCATATATGTCCCCATTTTCAGATGAAGAAAGTAAGACTGGGAGAGATAATTTGTCTAAGACTGCACAGCTAGTTATACAACTGGAGTTTGACTCCTAGCCTTTGTTCTAAGCTCTTCTCACCATGCACTGCTACTAAAAACTTATGGAGATAACTT